GATAAAAATGCATATTTATTTACTTACTTATTGTTGTGGTGCTGGGGATCAAACCCAAAGCCTCACACATGCTAGGCAAGCGCTGCTCCACTAAGCTATGCTTCTAACCCTTGAACTGTTTTTAAGAGAAAACTGGTAGTCACTAATATATACCATTTTACTATTTTAATAACACTACTCTTTTCATTCTAAAGTCATTCTAAACTTTTGTTCCAAAAGTCTTTGCCCATGTATTCTTCAGAAACCTGAAAATTGCAAACTTCCCTAGAACTAAAGCTATCCTAGATCTCTGCCCATGGGATGCCCAAAGATGACCTTACTGGGAGAGTCTGCTCTTTATCTGCGAACAAGCTTTGGAGAGAGGGAACTAAGCAAAGGAAGCAGCTCCTCAGAGAAAGCTAAAGACAGGATGACAAAGGGAAAAGGACTCTTGTCCACCAGCTGCCTCTGCAGTTGTGAGGAGCATCTCAGAAGGCCTCTCTGCTGTCTTGCCTCCAAGCATTTTATTTTGTGTCATGTTCAAGTTGTCTCAAGCCCTCTGATTTGGAGGCTAGGAGGAGGCAGACTTAATTTCTTATAGGACCAGACGTCTACACATACATGTACACAGGTTCTGGTCCACACTGCTTAACAATCCACATCACCACTGCCATGTCCCAAGAAACACTCTTCCCCTCGACAGTGGTGTGAAAATCAACGAGCACAAAGATGGACTCACTGGGAGTGATCTTTTTTACTTACTGGTACAAATATATTCCGCTAGCTTTTCTGCATTTCCACAGTTTTCTCCTTCAAAATCTAGGCCGATTTTATTAACTGGAAAACAAGAAAGAAAGAGAACAATAAGCAATGTATTAATTATTGAACTGTCCTACTAATCAGTTTTGAAACTGTCTCATTGCTATTTGTTTCTCAATAAAATTAATAAAAAGAAAATAACAATATGCAACATAATAACCATTGTTAATTTCCTATCATCTTAATTTGAAATTCTGTATCTTTTTTGTTTTATAATTCTCTTTAAAATAAAACTTAAAAAAAGATTATAAACACAAATTGTGATATGTCATCTTCATTAAATAAAGAACACCCAGCAGATTAGCATGTGTCCTAGCACATTACCATCTTGTATGTATCTTGGTGGGTCACAGAGGCATGGCCTTGGATATTACATATCCTGTCCCTTTCTCTCTGGCATTATGACCCTGCTTTGCTTCCTGGCCACCAACAACGAGGCAGCTTCACTCTGCCTGTCCTTCCATCATGTGCTTTCTTCCTCAGAGCCTGCCAACCACATACTTAATCTCTTGAAAACAGGAGCTAAATTAAGACTTTCCTTCTTGAAGTTGGGGTTCTCAGGTATTATGTCCCAGTGTATTGGTTACTCTTCTCTCATTGTTGGGGACGAAATACCCAACATCCAAAATGAAGGAAGGAAAGGTTTATTGAGCTCATAGTTAGTGAAGGTTTCACCATGGAAGGCTCCCGGGCAGAGTGGCACCTGACAGAGAGCAACCTTTCATGGTGGCAGCAAAGAGCAGAGAGCGAAGGAGACATGGCAGCAGCTCTGGCAGCTAGGAGCCTCTCTTCCTTCCTTACATTGTAACGCAAACTACCTGTCCCAGAGTGGGTGCAGCACCCACACCTGCAATCCCACTATTGGATGAAGAATCAATCTCAAACTCTAGAAGCCACCCCATGATTGCATAAAGCTTTGGGGGGACAACTAGACACAACCATAACACCCAGCAACAGCAAAGCTGATAAAGAAAGAAAACTGGTATCAATAATGGAGTCATGACTGTGACTATTCCTCGTTGTGTAGTTTAGAAGCCTCTGGCACTGGTTGGCTGAAGGAGTTTGGAAAGGTTGGGAGATGTACACTAGCGAAGGCTTAGAATGCACTAAGAGAGCCTGGTGAGTGATTCTGGTCAGAGTTTAGAAGACCAGAACACTGACAGGAATGCAGACAACACAAGCTAGGCTCAGGACATCTCAATTGGGAACAAGTGCTTCATTGGCACTTGAACTACAGGCCATGTATCTTACAATTTGGCAGAAAATTTGAGTAGATTTGCACATGTAGTATGTGAGGCTCGTAGGAGCCTGAGATTGAGGGGAGTGAACTGATTACCAAGGCAGAGGAAATTTCAAGACAGCTCAGTATTCAGGCTATGGCATTGATACTGTTAGCTGCTTTAATCCAGATTTAGGATGAGGTTGGGAGCAAAAGGCAGAGCAGAAAAGTTTGAAAAAAATGTGGATCAAAAGACGCCATGTATAAAATTGGGGCCAAAGGAGGCATGGTTGCTAAAGAGATTAGCGCCATTAAAAAATAAAGAAGGTACTTTATATAGGAACAAAAAGATGAGTTCAGGGGGCCGGGGAGGTAGCTCAGTAGAACAAGTGCTTGCCTGGCAAGTGCAAGGGCCTGAGTTCAATCCC